GTTCGGCTCGTTAAGCAAACGAGCCGAACACGAACACACTTTTTGAGCTCGAAATATAAACGAGCCAAACACGGCTCGTGTTCGGCTCGTTTACACCCCTAATCACCACAGCATAGTGGGTAGGAATCAGTGGTAGTGGAGTGCTATTTCTATTATAAGCAGAGTTGCTTATCATGAAAAAGTACAATTGTATAGTGCTCTTATCAGTGTGGATAGAGGGAGGAAATGTTTACCGTGTGATGAAGATTAAGGAGATGGAAAACTCGCGGGAACAGTTACTACGGTTAAATTCATTTTAACTTTCTCTTTTTCTTATTATTTTAACGGTTAAATGGTTTGGTCACATTAAATGTCGACCATTTGATGATTCGATCAGGAGGGTAGATGTTTTAGATTTGACTTATGTTAAGAAAAGCAGAGGTAGACCTAGGAAGACTTGAGCATATTGTATAAAACATGATCTTAATTTATTAGAATTAAATGAAAATATGACACTAAATAGGACGCAATGGAGAAAAAGGATTCATGTAGCCGACCCCACTTAGTGGAATAAAGGTTTTATTGTTGTTGTTTATTATTTTAATGGTTAACAAGACATATAAAAAGTTTGTTGATTGGTATTCAAACAAAAATCATCGTGATGGAAAGATTACAAGATTTATACTCTGAATATGAGAATTTCACTGTTTCTTGAGCTAATTGTGGTCGTCACTCCACATGCTGATTATTTCTTGCAAAAGTGATATTTTTTTAAAGGCACTCCAATATCTATACTTAATACAGTCAGTTAACAGTCAGTTAGAGAATAAATTATCCAATATTGCCATAGTGGAGGTTTAGCCGCACATGTTCATCGAGACAAAACCTTGTAAATTGTGAATTTTAGGTTCTATTGGCCCAAGTTGAGGATAAACGTATGTAGTTTTGTGGAGAAATGTTCCATCAGCAAACAATTCAAGGGAGCCGGGCAGAATAGTGGCCTTTATGGATCTTTGCCGTCCTAAATTCCATATGGGAAGATCTAAGATTGGATTTTGTGTTAGGCCTGCTATGGACTAAGCATGAATTCCATTCAGTCACGGTGACCAGTGACCATTGACCATTTTTCTAAAATAGCATTTTGTGGCATGCAAGAAAACTACAAATGGAATAAATATAGCCAAACTTTTTTTCAGGGAAACCGCTTGATTACTTAGATTTCCGTGGAGAATAATATCAGATTATAAGTTAAATTTCTAAAGCTTTTTTGGAGAGAATTATAAGAACGCTTCCAAAAAAAAAAAACACTTAGTTTGGCCTACCAACGGCAGACGCATGGGCAAACCAAAGTGGTAAATCGGGAAACATGAATTTCAGCATTCCCAGAGATTGACCACAACAGTGAGGCAAAGATCTGACGCAAGCTGAGCTCGCATTTAATTCGATGGTTAATCCGCCTACAAGTCATTCTCTTTTCTGCAAAGTTTACATCAAAGCTTTAATCTCACGGTGGATCTCACTATTTTACTTCAAGGCCAAAAGCACCAGTACTACCAATTGGGTAAATAACATTATTGCAATTCTATGAGAGGACAAGGAAAAATAAAAGTTACTTCACAACATTATAAGCAAAAAGCTGATAAGTCTTGAAAGGGAAAAAAGGTGACTTATTTATGGTAAGACTCCAAAATGAAAGGTTCCCACTTGGCACCTACTCCAAGCTAAAATCACATAATTTAATGTATTTTATTTAATTTAGTGTTAATTTGGAGCTGGGACTACTTTATTAGTTAGAGAATAGTGGTCTATGACTGTCTGCAAGTGGTGTGGAGGAAGAACATTTTTTTCGTTTATGATACTGTTCATTTTGCAGTGTTGAAAGAGAAGCTACTGCTATTTTATTGTTACATATTCCATCTTACCTGGCTTTGCAATTTTGATTACCAGGTTTCTACATCACTAAGCCGTAAAGAAAATCATTAATTCTGATTAAAGTAAGTCCAAGGATGTGATATTGAATTCAATGAATAAATGATAAGTTCCAACTCACAGCGATTAATCTAGCTCCAATCAATAACCTCTTTGGAGAAGGAAATGGCAACATGAGACGACCAACCCCAAATACTGCAACAGCAAAGAAATGGACAATTAAACTCAATGGACGGGGATTAAGGCCAGAGAGTAAAGCAACAGGTCCTGTTGAGCAAGTTCCTCCAAGCCTCAGATAGTCAAAGCATGCTTGCCGCATTTCATTCCTTCCCGCCTCAAGTGAGGAACTGAAAACCTTGTACAGTGCACCAGCCAAGGTGTTTATTGTCGAAGCAACAGGCTGTGAAGCAGCAAAGTACAATGTTAAGTTAAGAATTAAGCATAAGCCAACAAATATAATCACTCCATTAGACCAAGGGACCAATGCATTTAATTTGGATGAATAGTTGTTATACTTTAAAACCTGTAAGGACAAACCTTTCGCAAGGTGTAGAAGGATTCCAAATATTTAGAAAGAGAAGATGCATCATGGAAATCATGCAGTGGTGCAAGGAGGTTCTGTAGAACAACAATATCTGATAATGCCACCGTCATCCCTCCACCGGTTAGTGGATGTCGCATGTTGAAAGCGTCTCCCATTAGAAGCGCTCCCGGAGTTGGGAGAGGGTTCGCTGGCATGCTCCTGTTTGGCATGGTCTTTATTTTACCTTTATCAACAGCCGCAATAAAGGCATCATGCAGTTCAGTTGGTATCTGAAGCAGGAGTAAAGCAATCATAAAATCTACGCTAGTGTAAGAAAAGACATTACTGCAAAGAAAAAAAGTGATATATATGTATTTATATAACTATATAATTAGATAGAATGCAAGAAATATCAATGTTAAAGCACTATCAAAATCAGAACACACCTGAGGTGCTACAGAAGTCTTCAGATAATTAGACATCTTCCCATTAGCAATGGAAGGCATTTTCTGACCAGGTACATCAACCAGGCAGCGAACTTCTGTGCTACTTATGGGATAAAATAAAATTGGTGAAGGATCTGCCAAAATAACATGCCCGTGATTAGGAAATGGCAACTTGCAGTTCTCCAAGACCAAGCCAACAAATGAAGATGGAACTTCCACCTGAACAATAAAGTCACAGCCATCAAACAACCTGAATTAAGAGCATATCCAACCAGTTAGTTCAATGTTGAAAAAACGCAGCATCACTTCCTATTGCATCTAAGTATGATTTTAGACTATAACTGAGAGCAAGAATAATACCAAGAGGAAAAACTGAAATACAAGAATAAGATGTACAAGAACAGAAAGATGGGTAGAATGTAATCCTTTCACCTTTGAAGAGCAGAGATAACGCCGTAGATTTGAAAAACAGCCATCACATACAATAGTAAGAGGAGCAAAAGCTTGCAGTTCTTCACCAGCTTTACTCTTATATACTACTCCTTTGACTACTTCCTTCACTTCTAACAAGGATGTGACAGTTCCCTCCTCCATGCGAACACTAAAGCAAAGTAAGAACACATTTTGTTTATTTATTCAGAAGGAGCAAATACATAACAACAAACAAAAGGACATCCTGCTAAAATTGTCCACAAATATGATCAATAAGAAATTGAAAATCATTTGGTCATTCAATGTGGCACGGAACATCATAAGAAGAAAACTTCCTAGATTTCAAGAAAACACTATCCAGTAATATCTAAAGGAAGCAACATGTGCAATGCTCATAGAGCTCCCAAAACATTAAGATGTTTATCAGGCTAACTCTTACAATTTGCATACTCAGGTATAAGAATGTTAAACTTGTGATTTCTAGTTAGTAAATATAAGTATAGATCAAATATAAAAAAATAATAAAAACATCAGTTCCCACATTAATCAACAAATTCAATTTAAAAAACTGTAAAATAGATGCATGTTTTTGAGGATGGACTGATTTTTCTTCAAGCTTTGGAGAGTGAACTACTTCTGTCCAAGCCACAATGAAATTTTTAGCCACTGAACCTGAAATAAAAAACCAATCTCATACAGAGCCTATGCATTCACCTTCAAAAATCTATCAGCAATTAGTGCTTGAAGAAAACCACAACATAATTCTATAGATTTGAATAATCGCTAAAACTATAACTTCGGTCAGAAGATGACCTAAATCAGATTTATAATAGTTAATCAACCATACCTGTTTGTTCCCGCCTTCTTTTGTTCTATCAGAGGGTGGCGAGTTTAGTTTACTTAAGAAAGCAAGTAGGAAAAATGGGAAGCTAGTCATCTACTTTACTGAAGCTGAATGTAATCTGCTTGCTTCCTCTTGTCGTTTGAATTTGGTAGGGAAATTTCTTTATGGTCATCCCAAACTTAAAATTATTTGCAAGAAATTTGAGCTAATGCACCTTGTTGGGGAGTTGAAAATTGGACTATTAGATGGGCGACACATCCTTATTCAACTTATCAATGAAGAGGACTACACACCGTTATTTGTTAGAAGCTTTGTTTGGATTGATAATCAAGCTATGAAGATTTTGAAATGGATTGTGGATTTTGACCCACAAATTGAATCACCAAATATTTCGGTCTAGATTTGCCTCCCTGGTCTGAAATTCCATCATTTTAACCAACAAGTGTTGTACTCTATTGCAACGATTTATGGTAAGCCTCTCAAAACGGACATTTCAACTTTCAATCTTTCCTGTCCTCTGAAGCCAGAGTGCTTGTTGAAAGTGACATCACTTTAACTGCTCCAGAGAAAATTCGGCTAGGCTCACAACATCAAGGCTATTGGCAAAGGATTGTAATTGAACATTTTTCTATGTATTTCTCTATCTGTCATATATTCGGCCATTCTAACTCTCATTGTTACCATTTAAAGCCTCATCTAAAATCACGAAAGCGTAGTGCCCCTACTGAGATCCCCCCTCCTGACACGGCCCCAAGCATTCCTGTTGAGAACCCTTCCATTTTCAAGGTTAATGAAACTCTTGATCATCACTATAGCAATAACCAAAGAATCTAGTCCACCTGCTGACATTGTTGTAGTTTAAACACCTCTTCCATCTCCACAAATTGCTGAGGAAGGTCTTCCAATTATGCAAGTAAATGTCGAGAATTTCCGAACACTGATGCTGCGGGCACTCCAATCTTGGAGGAGTTCCAAGCTCAACGTGCGCAACAACCTGCAAAAATTCAACTATCTACAGACCATCAATTTGTAGCTAATTGGATGGGCACTCCACCCTTGGAGGAATACCAAGCTCATGATGCGCAACATCATGCATCCATTCAGCAACCTTTGGATCATCATCTTGTTGATGATCAGATTGAACATTCAATCGTTGAGGATGGCAAGTCCAAACATCTAAGAAGAACAAAGGAATGCGTGAACTCAGGAGTATACAGGATGACATTTTCCTGCTCTCAGGCGATAACCCATATATTAATTTTTTACTGGACTCCCTCCCTAGAACCAGGGGGAGAGGAACAGGTAAAACCTTTAAGGAATGGGATTAACACTCCTTTTAGAAATCACGTAATAGTTTTACTTCTCAACACACAACATTTTTTTGGTAAAGATTCGAGTGTTATTGATGGTTTTATTTTGAGTTTTGGAGGTCGTTGTATTTCTGGGGTTATTCATGGTCATACTCTTGCGTTATGCGGGTGTTATTTGTGAGTTTATTTTAGCGGTATTCTGTTTGTCTTGGTGTTATCGCGCTCCTCGGGTGTGTTTAAGGAGTTATTCTTCGTAGTTTCATACGGCTGCGGGGTGTTATTAGTGTCGCAAAGGTTCATGGAGGCATTCTGCGGGTTATTCCTCGTTGTATTTGCAGAGTTATTCACGAATTTTTCTCACCGTGCGGTTACTCTTTGGGTGTTTTATGGACAAAACTTGATGTTATTACTCGCCTATTTTTTTCTCCAACCGGTGTTACTCCTCGGCAATTTCTTCAAACCGTAGTGTTATTCGCCCATATAGAAGGGGGCCTTGTGGTTTTACTTAGGAGTAATTTGGGTTTCGGCTGATAATATTGCGGTGACAAAATGCACAATATGCGCTCCGTCCAAGATCCTTCCATCATATGCCCTCTTTTGCCTTTGAGCATTTCTCCTGTTGTTTTGGAGCCTTTTTTTTTTTTTTTGGGTATACTTGTATCTTTTTGTTTTTTTGCGTGGGTTGTATGCTTTGTGAGTGGGTGTTGCGCCCACTCACTAAACTTTATCAATGTATTCCTGTTTTGTTTTAAGGATATATATATATATAACAAGAAAGAAAAAAGAGTTTTCCACTACGGTATCAAAGCCGAAATTGTGTCACTATTGTAGCTAAGTTCTTATTAATTACTTTTAGATGATTAAAATATACTTGTTATAAAAATTAAATGAGTTATCAATTTAAGCGATCAAAATTGTGATTCAATTAAATATTATTAAGGCCAACTTTCTCATTATGATCAAAATAGCTTTATTTGAATTAAGGCTTTCTGCACAAGTTATCCTAAAAATTAAGAAAAAAATTAAATACATAAGCTTTTGCTGAACTAAAATTATTATATCATAACTTTTTAATATAAGTGAATCATTACCCATGATTTAATAATTAAGGTCAAAATAGGTAGCTACAAATGAAAAAATATGCTAATTTTTTTGTATGACTCGTCCCTTTAAAATCATTTACAAAGATTTTCCTTTTCTTTTCTAGTAAATTGGTTATCATTCACAAACATTATCAGACACTATTTAATTGTATTATCTATGTATGTAATAAAATAATGGCTTCTGAGATGAGCACAAATTAATTCTGAGATGAGCACTAATGGTTATCAAGTATTTTTTTAATTTCTAATCTCTTTGGTTCTCTTTATCTTTAAAAACATCTTTTTCAATATCATATTTCATCCTATGATGTCTTCCATAGATAATAATAAAAAAATAAATACCTCATTATTAATTTTTTAAATATAAAAATGTGAGCACAGAGTATCATATCATCGTTGTGTCCCTAACATCTTTTTCTCTACATTTTGCAATTATGTTATATTGTTGTATCACTGTTGTGTTGTGTCCCTATGATCGTATCCATATCTTGTTTCATAGCCATAAGACAAGGACAGTGCCCCTGTTATATTGATCAGTTGACCAAGACTCAAGTTAACCTATATAACTAATAATTGTCCAATAGTTCCAATGTGGTGGTAGCACCCACTGCCAATGATGCCACCGACGAGTGATTGGAATATATCACTTCATAGACCTCAAGGCCATGAGGATATGGAAGGTGAGAAAACAAAGTTTCAACAGTTGGATAAATACTAATAACTAAAAAAAAAAGTCATCAAGATTGAAATACACCTCAAAAGTTAATTCTGATGGTAAGGTAACTAGACACAAGGCAAGACTTATGGCTCAAGATCATAGTCAAGAGCTGGGAATCAACTACCATGAAACATTTAGTCTTGTGGATAACAAGTGGGAAATTTTTCAATTTAACATCTCTAATGCCTTCCAACAAGGCAATCTCAACCACTAAGTTTTCATGATCCCCAGTTTCGTAACCACTTTTGCCTACTCAAGAAGTCTCTATATGGACTTCAGTAGGTTCCTAGGCAATGGTTCGCCACATTCTCAGCATTTTTCACTGCAAATGGCTTTACAACCAGCAAGGCTGATCCATCCCTGTTCCTATATCATCAGGACAATGCCAGACTGTTTGTACTCATATATGTCAATGATCTCTTAATTACAAGAAACAACACTAAGGCAATCTCCCAGCTGACAGATAGTCTTGCTTCACAATTTAAATTGAAACAACTTGGTCCTATAGGTTGGTTCTTGGCATTGATGTTCACAAGACATCAAATTCCTAATTTTTAGGTCAACAAAGGTATGTTATGCAACTTCTCCACACTGCAGTATGCTAGATTTTACAACATTAAGCACATCTACACCGATTAAGGAACACCTCATCCAACTCCATTACTCCATTTCACAATTGACAATTTCACTTTAGCCTCAGTTACCAGACCCAACATCTTACATGCAATGAATTGTCTTTGCCGGTACATGCATGCTCCAAGCACAGCTCATATCAAAATCTCACTCGCCTTCTTGATATCTAAAAGTGACCATTCAATTTGGTATGATACTTCAACCAGGAGCTCTCAACTGCATATCATATGTGGATGCTGACTGAACGGGTGATAAAATTGATAGCAAGTCTGTCACTGGGGTGTGCTTATTTCTTGGACCGAATCTCATATTCCAGTCTTCCATGCTCCAACTAAGTACATAGAGATTGACTATCACTTTATAAGGGATCACATTAACACTAAGCAAATTAAAATCCATTACCTTCAATCTCTAGAATTACCTCCAGACATACTAAACAAAGCGTTACACAAACACAAATTCAACCAACTTCGCGACAAGCTCACAGTTATTCTGGAAATCATCAGCTTGCAGGAGGGTAATAGCAGCAACACTGCACTGGTCCTCACTACTCTATAACTGAATTGTAACAAACTGTCTGGATAGGACAGCACCAAGATTCCTGTCGAGAAAATTCTAAAGTATCAATGAATAACATGGAAAAGTACTTACAGAAACGGCAAGAATTATATTCCAATCCACCTGCTCCAGTCATTATAATATTTTTCTTAAGGAAATTAGTCTTTCAGTATTTTTTTTTTGTAGGATGTCATTAGTTTTAACCATAATAACACTTTAAAAATGTCCAATTGTTAAAAAAGACATGAAGAAGAACAGCATTGAAACGAATTATAATTAATGGGTTGCATTAGATGCAGCTTTTCCCAGCATCCTAAAAACAAAACGTCCATTATGAAAGCTCCTATGTGTTGTGAGTTTTCTAAACATGTTTTATATTTCAGATAAAAAGAAAACACTGGTTTTGATATAGATTTGAACAAAATTACTTAGGAAGATAAGTTCAGCCTTCTAATTTTTCTATTTAATTAATCTAATTAGCTTTGACAATGATAATGACTTAACATATGCATTTGCTAAGCAATACATACAAAAGAATAACACCAAAATAAAGTATAATTACTTGGGTAAAGATGCAGCTTTTTCCCGCATCTTCTGCACAAAACGTCCATTGTGAAAGCTCCTACCAGCAACATGTGAGCCGTATTTCTCCAAAGGATAGGAGAGCCTAGTACTCTGTCCGTTGTTAAAAAGTGCATAGCCATAAATTTGTTGAGCATCAATTTCTTCAACACAATCTGCATTGAAGAATAATAAAGCATTCATCAAAACAAAGAACTCATGAAAAGGTCATAAAAACACTTTTTTAATAATCAAGATTGTCGTAGTGAACTACATGAAAATTTTCATTATATGGGCTGGACCAGGAATTTACCCTCAAGGCCTAACTCAATCAATTTCAGGTAGCCACCGGGTTGTAAATATTCACCCACAATCCTATGAGGCTCTGTCAGATCTCTTTCAATAACATGTACATGATGACCAGTCTGCAAAAAATGAAAAGAAGCAATGGAGACTATGTTAATTAAAGTGATAAGAAATTTGAATAAAAAGAATTGCCAATAGTTTATGAGGCCAATTTTTATAACAGTATGCAAATAAGAAAAAAATGACCACTTGTTCCATCACACAGAATAAACACTAGTAACATTAAGCTTTCTTAAAAGACTGTAAATTCTATGCATAACAATGCTTAAAAAAAAAGTAGTTACTGTAAAGGGATGTTTGGCTCCAAGTAGGGTTTAGCAAATCCAGTAAATCTTAAAAATTCAAAAGATAATTAAAAAATGACAACTACTTAATAAAAAAAATTAACAATTGTTGAATCGAACACATTTATAACATGAGCTTTAACCCATCCTTGAGTTTGAGTGGTGGCGTGTTTCGACACGACTCAAAATAGTATTAAAATCTAGTTGTGTTTATATTAAATGAAAATTTATTTCTTTGAACAGTAGCCGCTGGCTCTCCTTCACCGTCTTTCCTCACCTCCATCCCTTCCCAACCTTCTCTCTCTCTCTCTCTCTTGATTTTCATCCATTACTAACTCTCTTCCATTTCTCCTCATTGTTCAGTCTCAAAGTTTGGGTATCAGACCCCGCCAACCATCTTGCGTATGCCAAGCTATCCCACTAACTCCAGAACCCACAATACTCTTGCATTGAAAGCTTGTTGCGTGCTTTTCGCGCTCTTTCCAACGTGTTGGATCCTAAATTGTCTTTTGGATCACACCCAAAGAAGAGAGTGTTGGTAGAATGAAGGAAAGAGAAATAAGACACAAGTTATACTTAATTTTTGTCAGGTTTCTAGGCTCCCCTCCCAGTGAAAATGATCCTTCTATTTATAACTCTTCGATATGGTATCAAAAATCACATAATTGTCCCTCCATTTAATGGGAACGTTACTACAATTTATAATCCTTTACACCAGTAAATATTTGTAACTGAATAATACATATCTTGGTCTTATAATTGTTGTTGGCGTCGTTCTATATCTGTAACTGCTCCCGATGCAGCTTCGTATCTGCAACTATCAAGCATGGACATGTAGTATTCAGTTAGTCGGCCCATAATCACTAGGTCAGTGCTGACCTCATTTTTGAGGTCATTATTCTTATAGATCCCAAGATCTAGCTCTACAAGTTTCTATTGACCATCTTAAAAAACTAAAATTGGGATCTACCCTTTTAAGAAATTCCAACCACTTTCTTTTTTCATGTGATGTCTAGCATATATGGTCTCAAAACCATCGTCTTGTGAACGAGCGGTTAAGGGCTATTGTGTGAAGACTCAGGGAGAAATTTTCAATTGGATCTCAAGTCATAGGAAAACCTCGTCAGGACTTTGTCGTCACATACACATACCGAATGCACATAATTCACTAAATTGCACAAGATCGGACTTAAATTGAGCTTAAGAATGGGTAAAAATGTGAACTTCTTCGGACGACCTCCGATGACGAAATGGACAGCGCCAATGCATCCGGGACACCAATTTTAGCTAGAAAAGGCACTCATATTGCTATATTTCCGACACGAGCGAAAATAGCACGCAAATCGATGAATTCGTCAAAACGACTTCCGACGGTTAAACAGACCGAGCCAGCGAGTCCGGAATGTTAGAATTACCTAAAACAAACACCAATTTTGTTATGTTTTGACACACGAATAAAAAGTGTGAATTGGATTTTATTTTTAAGATATATTAAATATTTTATATATTTTATTACTTTAATATTAAAATTATAATTTTAATTCCTATTTTACCCCTTACCCGCGCACTTAAGCCCTCGTCCGGTTCGATCCCGTGGCTTGATCCTGCGGAGCTCATTCCATTCCGCTCGCGTGCCCTAGTTCCTGCGGGTGATCCACGCGGCTTTCCTTTGTCGTTCTTGCTCGCGGCTCATCTCCTCGAGCTCCCCCTTGACTTTTCGGCTCTCCAATCGCAAGGAATGGGCTGGCCGACTCTTCTCCTTCCATAGGCTTTTATTTCTCCTTCTTTATTGTGACGTTTCAATCCCCGTTGTTCTATTCGACAGTCAGGCGGTGGTAGATGGCTGTTTCCCCTCTCTTCTCTGTCTATAAAAGAGTTTCATAAAACACTATTTTGGGTTGTTGAAATTTTCTTGAGAGAAAGGGAGGTTGTGTCTTTTGCCGTTTAAGGCTTTAGGGGAGAAAGCTCTGTTAAAAATCATTTCTAGACTAAGGGCCCGTTTGGGGCAGCTTATTAAGGTGCGGCGGCGTTTTCAAAAAGCTGCCGCTTGTTTGGTAATCACGTTCGCCAAATTTATTCCTGCCGCACTGCGTCTGCGTCCGATAAATCCTTCTATGGCTTTGACGCGGGTAAAGCCCTGCGTCCCGCGTTGCCTTACGAATGTCGAAGGTACCCCTGTCTCCCTCGCCTTCTCTCTCGCTGGATTCCTTTCTTCTTCCTTTTGATTTTCCTTCATGATCTGCTTTACCAGAACCTCCAGCTTCATCGCCTCGTGGCTCTTCAAGCTCCTCCTGTGTTCCAGATATCTCCATCTCGCTTAAACCCTCGGCGATGACGATGAAGGGAGTCGGCGACGTGGCCTACAAGGCATTCACCGCCGGCCTCGGAGCCGACAACCCTTTTGCAAGATTGAGAGCTAAGCCTTTCTCTCACTTGTTATGAAATTTATATGAGCAGAATGAGTATATTTTTGCAGGATTGAGAGCATCTAGTGAATAACAATGGAATGAAAGCAAGGGATGTTGAATCTGCAATAAATTTATATGAGCAAAATGAGTATATTTTTGCAAGATTGAGAGCTAAGCCTTTCTCTCACTTGTTATGAAATTTATATGAGCAGAATGAGTATATTTTTGCAGGATTGAGAGCATCTAGTGAATAACAATGGAATGAAAGCAAGGGATGTTGAATCTGCAATAAATTTATATGAGCAAAATGAGTATATTTTTGCAAGATTGAGAGCTAAGCCTTTCTCTCACTTGTTATGTTAAAGAGTTGAGCATAATGAGTATATTTTTGCAGGATTGAGAGCATCTAGTGAATAACAATGGAATGAAAGCAAGGGATGTTGAATCTGCAATAAATTTATATGAGCAAAATGAGTATATTTTTGCAAGATTGAGAGCTAAGCCTTTCTCTCACTTGTTATGAAATTTATATGAGCAGAATGAGTATATTTTTGCAGGATTGAGAGCTAAGCCTTTCTTGGTATTGAAGGTATCAAACTATTTAGGGTTGTTGATTTAAGATGCACAAAAATTATTTAGGGTTGTTGATTTGGGGGGAATTAGAGTTAGGTTAAGATTTGGTTATGATTTGACAGGTTTAGATTTGGGAAGATTTTGGTAGTTTTAAGATGGAACTAGGATCAAGCTCGCTCTGATACCAAATGTATGTCATCTTTTAAAACTGATTTGTGATGATTGTACGATTCTACACTATATGTTTCTGTACTACCAATAAACTATTCTAAATAAGCTGCTCCAAACAGTTTTATCAGACAGGGGCAGAAATGTCATTTAACCACTAATAAGCTAATCTGAATAAGCTGTCTCAAACAGCAAGTTAGAATATTCTGATAATCTGCAGATTATCAGATTATCAAAATAATCTGTTGATTATCAGCAGATTATAAATAATCAACAGCTGCGCCAAACAGACCCTAAGTTCTTGTGCTTTGGAAGTGTGGAACATTCGTGGATTGCTGTTTCTTGAAGAATTTAAGAAGGGAGGCTCTGTCGAAATCTCTTCTCAACTAGGATCCTCTGTGCTGAGAACTAAGGAATTGTAGGTGGTTGTTTGACAACGACTTTATATATGCTTAAAAATACAAGAATTTGATACTGCTGCTAGAAGATTTAAATCCCCGGTAACGGAGCCAAAAACTTGACAGCGACTTGATATATACTTAAAAATGCAAGAATTTAATACTGCTGCTAGAAGATTTAAATCTCCGGCAACGGAGCCAAAAACTTAACGGTTATAGATTTGATAAAGATGTGTATAAAATATTCAATAATTACAAAGTCACACTTATCAACGCAAGTATACGTATCGCTCAAATAATACAGAACTCTAATGGAGTCCTGGATATCGATCCCACAGAGAGTAATATTAGAGGCTACGAACTAAGATTTAAAAAATCAATACTCAATCACAACAATATAATTCAAATTGCATATTTATCACTAATAGGCAATTGAAATAAAAATGTAATTTTAATAAACTCTTAATTAACTAATTCTACTAATAAAGTTTCTAATGTGAAGTTCAATATATAAGAAAGCATCATTCTCGTTGTCAAGAAATA